CACCAGCTACCTGTCTTACACAAACACAATGTACATGAATAGTGACTGTGAGTAGTGAGATCCACTGTGTACAGGTAATCCTGTACTGGAGCAACTGCTTGTTGTACCCGTGTTTAGGAAAGTTTGAGATATTCATCATCTCATTATTTCTATTACCCCAAAAGTAGAGCGAAGGACGCCTAATTTGAAGCTAATTTGAAGAGCTAGATTTCTTTACACCTCTGCTACATTTCTCTCGTAGTTTAGTGATCACATCTGCAAATACCATGACCTCACCACCCTCCTTCATAATTGAGTTTGAATCCGAGCCAACAATTGTGATACCCGGTACACACAGCTCACTCAAGATGATGTAATGATGTTCCAAACATGCTAAAATTAGAAGCTCGCCTCTAAAATGGATATTATGCTAAAAGTTGGTTAATAACGGAGTTCCGGAGCACGTGATCTAGTGACATTTTAGTGAACCACCCAAACTATTGAGTGAACTCTGCATACTTTACACCTCCAGTGGTTCTATTATCGCTCGCTCTAGCACAACTGATAAACTACGAACCTGTAAGCGAGTGACCACTGCTTACATTCATGCACTAGACATGAAATGTGAGTAGGCCCAGAATATTCTATTACTCTCGACGATGAGAATATATGTTCAATTGTTTGCTAAAAGTAAAATATGGTTGCACCGAATATTCTAAAGCTTCATGATATTTAGCACACGTACAGTAATAAAGTACTAAAGCCTGTAGATTATATCGTGTTTGAAGCAGTAAGGACCAACTGAACCTCTCTGAATGATCTCTTTGTAAACGACTCATTATAGTGCTTTTATCCTGATGTGGTGGACCGTGATTGTGTGTTACATTATTTAGCAGTCGCTGCAAATGTAACAGTCTCTCTGAATGTTTTACACGCGAGTGTAACGTTCGTGCTTGCTATACACTCTCTGTGCGAGTTAGTTACTCTCAGATGATCAATCTAGAGACGGAATCTGTAGAAGTGTGTATATTTCTCTATTTCGCTGCTATTTGTTTTACTACCTTCATTTCTCTCAAATTCATTTTCTTTCATCCTTCACTTATTTTAATTTTGTTCATATCGATTGTCATACTTTGAAATCCTTCATCGCCGTTTCCTAGCGTTTCTATTTTAAACATTTGATTTCCTTGTGGTTGTTATTATTGCATATAAACATAGCGTGTTTGATTCTAGTAGTAGCCTGGTAATATCGTAAATTGCAATATACCTTCCGTGAGAACAATACCGATTAAAGAGCCTCAAGGGCCTCACTTACACTGTCTCATCTTCTATTTTTAGAGCAACTCGAGCTGCTCCGGCAGGATTGTCATGAAGTTCCGCTCATTTGTTGATAATGTGCCCCAGTATTTTCTATCAATCCAACAGGAGGGTCCCTACGCGAACAGGGAGCTGGCTGCTGTATAATTTAAGTCATGTGACGTCACACGCACGCCGTTCTCTGATTGGCTCTCACGTGTGCGCGCGGCGTGTGACGTCACACAGCTAACTCGCTTTAGCTCGTTCACTCAGCGCTGCTATATTGCTTCGCTCTCTCTGTGGCTGAAGCTGTTTGATGTTGTGCTGCATTGGCTCGCCTGGGCACGCTCATTATGCGTGCTCTCAGTTGCTACCTCGACCTGCCAGCCTCTAGTTCTCAGACAAGCCGGATGTGAGTTGCTTTACTTCAGATCTGTGGCTTGGCTTTCAATGAATTACAATACAGCACGTCGCTTTGTCCGGCCTACAAATATCCTTCAATTCCGTTCGTCCCAGTTTTAACCTACTTCGTTTTTTTGTATTCTCAGACTGCTTTTTGAAATGTAACGCCTCTATCAATGTTACTTAGTTCATCCCGAAACAACGATCAACTATCACTCTGAGTCTGCTTTACGAGCTTGATGATTGTATCTACCTTACTTACTTGTACTTGATTAGGTCTCCACAATCATTCGATTGGCCTGCACCAATGAACTCCCGTTTGTGTCGTATCATCTCCCTCGGTGACCTACCACATACTGTAATATGATTACACACGCAAATACATTATCAGATAATAACATGTGCAAGCTAATTGGGTATTATTTCAATTCACTTAGCCGGTGTAATCAATTAATTGTTACAATGAGTCTTGTGAGCTGTTCACACTTCTAACAAGGCCACATGAATCCTTGTCTCGAGACCCTGTCATGTCACCTGACTCCCCGTTAAAGTTATTGTTCCTTCTCAATTTATTGATATCGTGTGTATTTATAAAGCTTAGGTCATTTTAACGCTTTGATTCTCTAATTTGATTGTTTTGTTTATGTGTGGGAGTGCCATTTTGGCTATTTTATGCCTTGCGTTTCCTGTTTGGCGGATCAACTAATTGCGGATTGCCATCAGAATGTCTAGTTTCCAGTGGACCAGTCCGCTTTGTAAGTGATTCTTCCAGTCGATATTCTCGCCTGTACTCGGCATCGGACGAATTTTCTTTGTGCGTCGCAAGTACTGGAAAGGTGAAAGTTGTGTGCTTTGTATGGAACGCGCGCAGAATTGTGTGCTTTGTAGAGATTCTACTCTGTGCTACTGCGGCCATTCTTATAATGCAAAATCAGCATTTGCATTCGAGATTTTCTTCCGTGTTCCTTGAGTACGCCCACAAATCAGCCTATTGACTTTGCAATGCTTCTTGCTTGTGATCAAACTATAGAATTTGTCGCTTATCTAGTTACGTAAACCAAGTCATGCATGCGATGTTTTGCTTGAACACCACGCTTCTCGACCAATCCACTTTTCAATTCTTGTTTCTTTCCTGCTGTAAACTTAACAATTCGTGATATAAACTTGTATTTCCGGTGAAAACGTGATAATATTTTCACAGGTTTAATTATGCGCCGGTTCATGGCCGTGTTATGTTACAACTGATAAGGCTAATTTTACAATTTAGCCTTTGATTCTCTTGAGCAGCAGATTTCGATTATCCCAGGTCGTTTGCACCTAATATAATTTACTGATACGGCTGCGTGTGTGCCTACATGTTCGTGGTCTGCACTCTGCAGTGTGTATACTGCAGCACACACCCTCTCGTGAGGGTGTTGCCATTCTGTTCTCTACATGTTTCAAAACTCCGAAATGTGTGTCTCAGATTGTGCGAAACTCAACTACTTCCTCGCAGCTCTAATTTGATTAGGTTAAGCGACTCGTAACATTCGAGTAGGCTGCATAACTTTTTGGTGACTTGATTCTTTGCTGGACTGAATATTATTATGCGATCGAATAATATATTCAACTTCATAATCGGCTAACTGTCGTTCACCACACGTTGTCTCATATTCATGTGTCGTCGACTCATGGATTCCACAACGCCCATAGCATAACGGCAGAATATATTGTAACTCCGGACTGCTATCGTCAGGAACTTTCTGAAAAGTACACTGTCAAAACTTCTAACTGCTTCTTTGTTCCTGTCATTGGCTGGCAGCCGTTGTGCTGAGCTCTTACTGCCCAGTCTAAATTTAGTAATTACACGAAAGAGTGACCCCGGGGGCTGATGTTAGATCGAATTATAGTATCAAGTTATCCTGACTCGAATAGCAGCATTAGTCACGTGGGAGTCAGCTCGCGTGATACTCAACTCTTACTTTGAGTAGCTCATTCAAAGCTAATTCAGTAGATGTGTGACAGTTGCTCATTCAGTAGATTCAGGTACGTGTGACAGTTTCTAGCCACTCTTCCTCTTCTATCTGTTCTATCTATACTTATCCGCTAGTTATCCAATATAAAGGTAATTATGTGCCTCCACAACATACAGAAGTCTACCGGCGCCTCGTTATTGCCATACCGATCATCTTACTATATACCCTATATATATACTTACTTATATAATATATATACCGATCATTGTTTTAAACTACAAGCTACCCTCCCTGTAATTACTTTACAATTGTATTATAACTGAGGTTGTTAGTAAGATCTGCTCAGTCAAGCTTGTAAAAAGTCTTCTGTTGTTGGTCATGAGTCACGAGCTTCTTTCATCATTTCTCAATAGCGAGGTTTACCTTGGTTAGTATGAGAGCCTAGTTGAGGGTTCTGGTCATTAGTTTGTAGCTGTGATTCTATCACGCACGAACAAAGACTTTCTGATAACTGTTACCGGCAGAACCATCGTTCCAATCTCGATATTTTTATCTATTGTAATCTGGACGATAATCCCTAAAGACTTTCTGGAGCCAAGCCACAAAATCTGACTGAATTATCAGTATTTATGTTCATCCCCCGATGAAATGTGTTCCTTATCTGATACGAGTGTAATTAGTGTTTTGTGCCGGCAGAAAGAAGTTATTTATCCGCACTGCCAGGGGGAGGTGCGGACAGCTGGTGAACCCTGCGTGTCTCGCCTCCTTTTCCTACTTTAACTACTTTTATACTAACCAGTTGCAGTCTGGTGACCCACATTCTTCAGAGTTATTGAGAGTTGAGCAGCTTTTGACAGAACCTAAAACTCTGGCCGGATGTTTCCTCGCTATTTTAGGAAACAAGTGTCATCGTATTGCTGACGTGAAATATTAACACTTGGCAGATGCTGGGCGGAGTTGCGGTCCTCCGCTGTGTGTCACTTATTAATTAGTCTTATTCTGCTGGCCTCAATGTTGTTGGTTCAGTTTCCTACTGCTCCTGTGTTTGCTAGATCCTCCTTAATTTGGTTTAGTTGAACCACCCTAGGGGCAATGTCAACAGTGTGAACAAATCTAATTTTGGGAACGCAGCATTGTTCTTTATTATATAAGACTTGCTTTTGTACACTTTTTGTTCCGCTTTTATTTTGTATTTCCCTGTTAAATTTTTGCGATTTTGATAGCAGTGATATCTTCTGTCCTTTCTGTTTGAAGATATTAAATTGTTAAGAGTGATGATTGAAACTGTTGATTATATTATTAATTCACTATTGACTGATTATTGATATGATAATTGTAAAACTAGTTAACTAACCCACCCACTTTCTTTAGTAGTATCATGATATCAGAGATACAGTTGGGAGTGCACTTTATAGTCCTTAATTTCCTGGTCAACAAGTTACCCAAAAGAAAGGTCAGCCAGTTTGCTAAGGAGCTCACAGAATGCCTCAAGCTTAAGTTCAAGGGACATTGGTATCCTAAACATCCAGATCGAGGGACCGCCTTCAGGTTTGTTACTTTCTAACATTAACATTTTAGAACTCTTAAAAGTTGTTGTTTAATCCGTTTACTACATTTAGATTGGAGCACGGTATATTCCCATTTCCAAATGTTAACGTCTCCTTATTTTAGGTGTCTGGAGATTAGAGACGCTGTGTTCGACCCGGTAATAGTACAAGCAGCCAGGGTGTCAGGAATCAGCCTGGAGGAGATAAAAGCTCAGCTGCCAGACTCTTTCTTCCTCTGGATGGACCCCTATGAGGTGTGTTATAGAATAGGAGATCAAGGCTCCCTCTCCGTCCTGAAGAGGTTCAGCCCTGAAGCTTATCAGTACGACCAGCAGCAAGCTGTCTCCACTGATGACATCCGACTTCCTATGCAGTCCTGGGAGAAGATCCAGCAGCAGAAGAGGCGGAACCTGCAGTCCGTGATCCATCACCGCCGCTCCAACTACAGCGAGTGCAGCAGTGACAGCGACGACCGGTCCCGCTCCCCTGACCTGCAGGATCTGGTTAACGCCCAGCCCTTCATCCCCCGGAGTGTTGCCTCTCCGGTCCCGCAACCCCCTCATCCCTACCACATGATGCCCCACAACCCCCAACAATTCATCCCAGTTAGTTGGGCGACCCATCCAGTGCATCCAGAGTTGGTGGCCGTTCAATAACCCCCGTTCAGTTTCACAGCTAGGGCCTGTATGACCCGGCTTCAGACAGAGACAGTGGATACGTGGACAGCTTCCCTGGGACGGACTCTAACCAGAGACCACCCTCCCACCCGCGGGGGAACCCTCGTAAGCAGGGGACCTCACGGGAACCTTTCTGTTTATTTATTGGATGTTTAAAGGGGTGTGTACCCCGACTTGAGCGAAAACTTAAATTTTGGTTTTTATTATACTTCGGTTTTATTAATTTCGATGGAATAATTTGAGTTGTGGACCAGAGTATTGTCAATCAGTATTTTAAATAAAACAGTAACAATTTTTTATATTTTAATACATAACCCCAATTTTCTGTCCTCCCTAACCTCCTTATCTGATCTCTGTATCGTTTAAATTGGCAGAGATCAGTCTACACCCATATCAACGTTATCTTCATTTGATAACAATTACCCACTGAATACAATTCCAAGCCTTAAATCTCCCTTAAGAGCCTCTTCCCCTGGACAGAAAATTGGGGCCAGAAGTTTTCACTTATTGACCGATATATTGTTATGGTGGTGCACATGAGCCCGGCTCGAACAACTGCTGCCCGGGCCAGATTATTACCGTAGAACCATGTTTAATGTTTTAACACCAAGTCTTACATCCACATGACCATTGACCACACTTGTGTTGTCCTGACAACTCGGAACTGTTGTCATGGCGACGCGCTTGAGCTGCGTGTTTCTACGATCCTCATGTCAAGGGGATCGTAAGATTATGTATATTAATGTTTAATGTTCGGTGCATCCCTCTGTGGGACCCCCCACAGTTTCCCTTTTTGTTTGTTGTTGTTGCCCTGGGACCTGTGAAGGGATGTGCCGTACAGACCGTTACTGGGTCGCGAGCCCTGTCAACTTATCTAGATCTGGGTACGAGTTGGAGTCCGGCGGTTAACCTGCTGCTCCTACATCAAATTTTTTATTGATTTGTATATGATAAGGTGGTACCAATCTCCTGTATATGTTTATTTTAGCCTACTCTGGTGTTGTTTTTAGAGCGTTTGTCATAGTCTTTTGTTTTGTCAAGGGTTCGAGAATATGGCAATTAAATTGTTGTGTAAATAATTTCATTTTATTGTATTATTTATTAAACTTTATTAACGTCCGGGCATTACCTAAGATCTGGTGAATATAGAACTATACAAGGCTACCATCTCCCCCCCCCCCCCCCCCCCACCCACCTAATAGCAATTATACAAGGCTACCATCTCCCGACTCCCTCCCACCTAATAGCAATTTGTACTCTTAAGTGAGTACACTTAGTACACTTCCCCCTGAGTTAAATAATAGTGCAATGTTCTTAAAGGCTAATTTATTGGTTAGAACGGCCTGGTGACGTGCAGGACACGTGTCAGGTCCTACTTTAACTAGCTTCTTGGATAGTTCACCCACCAGATAATATATAGCAACCATCTTTAAATGTTTCCTAAATTTCTAGTTTTGGTAACGTTGTTGTTGTTCTGTAATTCACTGCTGCCTCGTTAACACAACTTTTTACAACGTGACGATTCCAACATTCAGAGATTATAAGAGCTTGCAATTCATGTGAATATTTGACCTAAAATTAATGTGGGCATTTGATTGATAATATTTGACAGATTGATGTGATTCGTCAAATTTCTCATATCCTGCAAGCTAATGTGACTTGATGTATGTCGTGTTTTTATTCGTTTGATATTGATGTTTACATGTTTCCATGGCAACTGATTGAAAGTTGTCCATGGGATCATTGCTTGATGTATGTAATAATGAGCAGTCTCCTAAACAAATTTCCCAGAACTCCCTTCAAAATATTAACAAATAAAACTCGTTGTAGAGGAGCAAGCTCTAAGCAATACATACATCAGATTGGTATCACTGTCATATGGTTTACATTTACTAATGATGACCGAAATCTCAGTTTTTTGTTTCGTATTATATTTTTGCATGGTTTATTATGGAGTATTGTATTTTGGCGCGTACCCACGTTCTAGATAGGTTGATATAAGTTTTGCGGTGGCTGATGAGCGAAATGTTCTCGCTACTTTTGGTGGCTTCAAACTGAAATGCAGACTAGTGTTCTGTCACTGCCCCTCCCCATTATCTTTAGCTACATGTCAGAATCGTACAAGTTTACATTCTGAACGCTTTTCAAACGTTTGTAGTGTATGTATCTTTCTGACATGTGGGCTTTAAATTGGCAGTTCATTATTTCAGAAGTTTGGAGCTTCGAAAATTAGTGAGAGTAGGCAGCTCAAGCTTTCATTTTTGTATAGTGTGTGTAATGCACTCTAGACTTCAATAAACTAATTTGATGCATTCAATTAATTGGTTTTATTTGTTTACAACTCTACAAACACACTCTCTGAAGCACGGTGTGGATGGTAAATATAGGGGGGGGGGGGCAATATATCATATATACTGATTACTGGCCTACTCCTTTATGACTCACTTGAAAGAGGGCCCTCATTTAATTAATACTTCTAGAATGGTCAATCCTCTGACCAGTTCTTAGCTGCTGAACTTAATGAAATTATCCCTTGACATGCTAGATTTTACTGGGCCGCGCTCAGCCTGTCATTCCGCCGAATCTCTATTCTATGTTTATGAACATAATAGCCTGAGGTCCCCAGGTAAGCTAGATTCTGCAACTAGTCCGCTTTCCCGGCCAACATGTGAAATTATACGCTACCGTGTCACTTGTGCTAGTAATGATAGATCATACTCATAGATAGTATAGTTGTCATGAAGATGTAACAAGATGAGACCGAGCTAATAGTCGTGCGCTGGTCTACTAGTACTTACCTGTAAACTAAGGGTAAGTAGACCCGCCGCGCATTGGTAACGACTATTAGTTCGGTCTCGCGTAATTACATCTTTATGACAGTGATTGGTATTATAAGGTCAAAGGTAGTATAGGTATATACTATAGCTATATACTAAAGATTGAGCGGCTATTCTATTTGTCCATCGCTAATGGACTAACCCGGTGTCTCGTAGCACTTGCCTATGGCTAACATTTCGAGAAGAAAGCGGCGCGCGCTACTTCGAAAATTATACTCTTCTAAATTTCTTCGAAGTAGCGCGCACCGCTTTCTTCTCGAAATATTGACCCGAGGTAATTCACAATTGCTGCGAAGTAACGGGCGCCGGGTCAGATCATTAATAATGGTCAAGATTTCGCGCCGCTGCGGGCGCGCTTGGTTCACAATTAATAAAGAAACTTTACCGTCGGGAGGCGGGCACGCGCCATTGCAAAGACTCTGGATAGAGCAATTCAAACATCAATTTCAAAGGTAATTGAAAATTTTCCCCGACAATGTAAATATAAATGAAGATTATGCACATTCCGCACTTAAAGTACTTGTCATTGTACATTAAGAAGAACAAATCGAAGCGGCGAAGTCCTCCAAAACAATATTTGAAAGTAATGGACTGACCCAGTGCGCGATATTTCACGTCAAAGTACTGGTCACCGGCAAAATTTCGAGACGAAAGCCAAAAGCGGCGGCGCGTTACTTCACAAACTTTAAACGAGTACCATTTGATCACCTGTCAATAAATTTCGTGGGACGTGGCTGCGCTTTTTGGTTTATTTGTTTATTAACGATGCCAACATGTGGCCCTTTCCAGTTTTTATCTCTGTTACCTGGGGACCTCAAGCTATTATGTTCATAGAGATTCGGCGGAATGACAGGCTGAGCGCGGCCCAGTAATTATCTTTGCTGCGATCTTTTCGAAGCGAAGCAACTTGCTTCAAGCAAGCAATTGGCAATATAATGCGCGAGTCGCGTCAACAGTCAAAGTGGTCACCGCGATATAAATAACCTTTATATTAGCTTTAAAGTAACTTAGTAACGTGTAACGTTACGTTACTTTTCATCAGGTAGTAGCAGTTATATTCACCTAACCATGTGCTTTCGCGCCACTTCGGGCGCGCTTGTTTCACAAGTCAAGAAAAGCACCTATCCACGAACCCCGATGGGAAGGTTCGTGCGCGCGTGTGCAGTGCTGACAACAGCGTCTATGTAGCGCAGGTAGTCTTGGCAATTCTCCCTCCATTATGCAGTAACCACTTTTCAGGTTTATATAGTGCATAGTGACAGTGTATAGGGGTTAATTAGGTATAAACTACAGTACAGCTGTACTTACACATTCATTCACAAGCATGCAAGCTCACCTGGTCCAATGAGCGGGAAACGGAAGACAAGGTCTGGTGACGTCATAGTTTGTCATACGTTGTATGACCCGCCGCGCACGAAGTGCGCGGCTCCCCCTGTATCGTCACATAGTGAAACGACCGTGGGGGTCGCAACGTGATACAAGTCATAGTCACGTGACCTCATAGGCTCATAATCACGTGACCTCAGACCCAATCAATGATCAATTAGGTTCGGGCATGGTCAGCCCTTGATTCACGATGTCAATCCTTCGCAGCTCGGTGAGGCACAGTGGTTGCTCTATCCAGAGCCCTTGCGCGTGCAGTAGCGCGCGCCCGCCTCACAGCGCGAAAGCACATGGTTAGGTGTAGCACAGTGGTGCATCTCGCCGATCTACCGAAGTGTGGTTGCGAGAAGCATTATTGGATGCGCGCGCGCGACCCAGTAGTGCATCGCGCTACAAGGTCAGCCCCCTGTCACCCGATCTTGAGGTGACGTACGACACGTTTCGTTTACGCAATCAATGTCTGAAAGGCTACAATCGACTCGACTTAGGGCGGCTTTAGCGTCCGAACAGAAATAGTCTTTTTCCAAATTTGGAGGACTTCGCCGCTTCGACATTCGACGCGCCGCGCGAACTAGCATTCTTGCTTCGCAGAGCAACGATCTCGATGGGTTGACATCGTCAACCAATTTCCAAATCTGTCTATCCAGCATGAGTTTGTTAATTTCTTTGCTGTCGTCAAGCCCCGTGTCCTTCCGAAGGATATCAATGTATGTGAAATGTGGTCTTCCCCTTTGACGATGTCTTTGAATGGGTTCCCAGAAGAGAAATTGATGACTCAATAATAGTTCTTCACGTCTGGCTAAATGACCTACGAGTCGCTACACACGTCGCATATGAGGCAGACAAAAGCGCGGGTAATTTTGGCACCACTGTAGAGTGGTGCCAAAATCGTTGGGTGGGTTGATGGCTAGAGCCCTTTTTACCGCCGTGAGGTGGGCGCGCGCTACTGCAAGCGCAAGGGCTCTGGATAGAGCAAGCAGTTATACTATCATATACATTTCAAAGACAAAATCATAACACAGCACAATTAACAAATTCATTCGTAAATATTCAAACATTATCCATTAATTGAGATTATTGTTACTGTCGATATTTTATACCATATGATTTCACATCATTGACCTTGTCAACTGTCATCTAGATAATAAACAAAAAGCTGTGTTATTCAGCTTACTGATCTATGCTGTATGCATCTACCAATCATTAGCGAAAGAAACTAAAGTGTAAAGGAATTAAATTTTACTTTATTACTAACTTTACTTTTACTTTTACATAGTAATCCATTTCATGCATGATTTGTTTATTTAAAATATTCTATACTTCTTCTACTGATCTAAACTTGTATCCAAGAAAGAATAGAAATTAATTTATTGCTCACAACGCAAGCCTACAAAAATTTTTTCTTTCTCAATTACTAGAAACAATGTTCAAATTCGTGGTGTTGACCATTTGCTGGTCCCTCCATCTCCACTGTCAAGCAATCTGGATTAGGCCGACCATGACCTTTAGGCTTTTTTGCTATTAGCGTGACAAAGGCTGCACCTTCTTTCACTTTAACCTGGGGTATGTTATGATCAATAAGGTGTTAAATCTTATAAAGATGGATCGATATCGAAATTGTAAAATTTTATTGAGAAGAAAGTTTGCCATTCTAAGAATCAGATGTACGTCAAATCACAAATTTTATGGAATTTCAACATCTCCATGAAAAATATTTCAAAATAGCTTACACTTGCTTTTCCAGTTTTAAGTTTAACTGATTGAGATTTCACTTCAAAAGAAGAAGAATGCAGACGAGTAAGACCAAATGGTTCACCAAATTTGTTCACCTGTAGTAAGAGTTTATCAAATTAAGTTCTGATTTGTGATACCTTAATCCTACTGAACAGTAATTCAAAAGTTAAGTCAACCTAAAATAATACCCGCTGATTAGATGAACTTGCCAAATAATCAAAGTTTGATTGTCATGTCATTTTGTATTTTTTCCTCAAATTTCTTACCTCAATTGAAAGGAAAATTTTGTAAGCTTTTTTCTTTGAAGCCGTTTTCTTCAAGAATGTACCTATGATCTCCGTTGACTCTGAAAAAGATGCACTCATCATTTTAAAATCTCTATTGTCTCATTGAGATAAGGATGTATTCACAGTCTCATAAGTTACCATCAAATAGGTGCAAGTTTATATACTATCCTAAACACAACTGCCTTCATTGACTACTGCTTGAAATATGCTAAAGTCGAGGTCACATCATGTGTAATAGTTAGAGGAAACTTACGGTTGTAACATCTAACACCTGCAGTCTCTTCAGGCAGACAGGGGAGTTCACTATCTTCATATCTTGTTGCTGAACAGTGCTCCAGGTTTTCTTTTTCGTCACATGGGCAATCCAGTCCTGTCAGGACAAAATCTTCTCTGTCTGTCACCAAGGAAATAGCTTTTCCGTACTGAACAATCGTAGATCAACACTACACTATACACTAGTTATATAAATTATAAACCAATAGCAGCTCTTACATAATATTGTTATGAGTGGTACAAGGCAATGCAAATCTGCTAATACTAACCTTAAACCCGTTCTGTCTACAAATGATCCCCGCCTCCCTGTTGTCCCACCCATCATCACATAGTGTTCCATTACCATTCCATGATTTGGATGTGTAGGATACTTGCACCAGATGGCTGCCTTCATTATGTGCAACAATGCTTGTTTTTATTATCACTGAAGAGTTATTTGAAATAAGATGCGAGGTATGTATGATCATTTGAGAATAACTTAACACTCATATCATTTGCAATTAAAATGATACCTAGTTATAAAGTAATGATTCAAATTATAAATTGTGTAATGCTTTGTAAAGTAAAGTAGTAATTATTGACCAAGTAATTTTAGATTAAATAGACAACCTCTTTCACACTCAGGAAGGATTGTTGAGTTGCAGTAAAGAAGGTTCCCTTTACTGTTTGAGAGCCAGTAACCTGGGTCACATTCCACTGTGAATCTCAATCTACCTCCATCCGTCGATTTTTTGACAAATTTTCCATTTTCTACGTTTTGTTGTAAGATGTCACACTCTGAATGATTTATGTTAAAACTCAAATAATTTCGTTCTGTCAGAAATGATCGTTCTAGATATCCAAGTTAAAAAAAGCTACAATAGACAGTAGATACTTATTTTACTTCGGTTTATCCAAACAACCATATGGTTACATTATGATCGGCCAACTACAGGTAAATGAGTTGAACACACAGTTATAACAAGGCAAGCGACGGTAAAGGAAGTGTATTAGTGACGGTAAAGGAAGTGTATAAAGGAAGTGTATTTCATACTTTCCTCGCCAGAGCCTTCGCTGAGTGTAATCAGGTCTTCTCCAATAACTTCAATATAAGCTGGTTCCTCATATTGTGCCATGCAGTAGTACTGTCCTAAGTCGTTCTGATCTACTGTTGCAATTGTCAGGGTAGAGAGGAGGCTGATGCCATCCAGCTTGTTATTGGTTATGAAGTGTTTGCCGTCCTGTAATAGTCCTGCGTAACTAATTTTTTATAATATAATGTTTTAGTTTATGACAGGTTAAGGCTGCTGATGCAAAATAAGTATTGTGATTTGTGATTATTCCTAGTACATTGTCATTATTAATTAAATTATATGTTTAAAAATATTTGCTGATTTTGAAATGTCTGATAAAAGTTGTCATGCACTTTTATTGATTCTGGCATCTAAAAAAATATGTTTCTAATTGTTGGTTATCAGTCTCACTGAGGATAGTGTTTATTCATTAGAGAAGTGTCTTTGCATAAGAAAACAATTCCGACTCTGTTAATGGGTTGCATACACTTGCCTCAAGAAAGAGATCCTCGCTGCCCCCATTCTTCTTGTACCATGTCACAGTAGGAAGATGATCCAAATGTTCCGGTGAGCTGGCTGTACAGGTCAGTTTCGCGTCTTCTCCCAGGGTCGCGTCTACATCAGGTCCCATTTGTACTTCGTACTCTGTGGTATGATTTGTTATTTGGTATTACACTTATTTCGTAGGAGCTTATTTATATTATACAACTTGATAATGGAATAGCTAATGATAAGGGGGGGGGGGGGGGGGGGGGGGGGGGCCAAGTGGATATTTGTAGATATTTGGATAATGTCATCCACTTTTTTCGTGAATTATCCATTACAATAATCTACAAATATCTACATTTATCTACAAAAAATGTATATCTCAAATATGTGCCCAGAAATTCTACTGAATTTTTGGAGATAAATGTATAAATTTGTAGAATTTGTAGAATTTTCGTGAATTATCCATTGACAATAATCTACAAATATCTACATTTATCTACAAAAAATGTAATCTCAAATATGTGCCCAGAAATTCTACTGAAATTTTGGAGATAAATGTATAAATTTGTAGAATGTCATCCACTTTTTTCGTGGATTATCCACTCTACATTAATCTACAAATATCTACAAATATCCACTTGGCCCCCCCCCCTGATAAGTTAAACTTACCATGTGATAGAAGAGAAATTTGGTCGCTTTCATACAAGAGATCATCACCATCGAAGACAGCACACATTATTTGAGTATCACTAAGGTCTTGTGGCCACTCCTCGAATTGCAGGATACTTATGGTGACCTTGTCATCTTCCTCAGATGTTTGCCAGTCCTCGTGGAAGGGTTTGTTGGATTCGTCCACCCTGAAAAATGGAGTCATCAGGATTTGCTCCCTGCTACATTGTTTCTAGATCATTAGAAAGCATCTCTTGTCATGTTCATGCTGAGTTATAGTAAAGTTTGATTGTTTTGCAACTGTTTTTGTGTAATCGTACCATCGTATATCCTGCGAATGAGTCAATCGTTGATAGGCGCACGTTAGCTTAACATTTTCCTGACCACTATTTACAATGATAGTGTCTCCTTCCTCATCAGAGGGCTGCTTTATAAAACCTAAACATAGGAATGTTATATAATGCTGAATTAACATTGCCAATTTTATAATATTTAATTTACTGTGTGTATTTAAGGAGAAGTAATGAGAAGTGTAACTAATGTGTTTGAGTGATAACTCACCGTGTATAGCCACTTCAGTCTGTAGCTCTTTAACCCATCTATCTTTTCCTTCAGCATCCTTCACTTGTACCAATACTTTGTAGATACCATCGTCATTAAAACCAGCACTCGTCAAACTTGCTTCAGACTTGAAGAATGTTGAACCATCCATAGATACGGGAGTCCTGGGAGTTTTCACTGGTTATTACATGTAGATGGGTTTGTGTAGCTACATGATCGTGTGTGTGTTACTAGTATTACTAGTAGTATTACTAGTAGTGGCAGTCACATGTATAACAGAGAGAGAAACATACACAATGTGTTATAAATGAAAATAACTAACTGGCTAGTAGAAACAGTGTGATACTCCTCCCCGTTCTTGGTCCAGCTGAATACAACACTAAGTCTCTCGTCGTACGTGACAAGTGCTGATATTGCTACAAAGTCTCCAACTTTAACAAGAGTTGCAGGTGTAATGGACACATCTAGGAGCCCTACAGTGATAAAGTTGTTACTTGTCTCGAAGAAGTCCTCCTTTACATCTGCCATGCACCTCACATCTCCCACTGCTCCTTTAGAGGATGTGAACTTGAACATCTGCTCTGCTACTCCATCTTCAAACTCTCTGTCACTCGTGGCTGAGAAGGTTAACTACTAGTAACACTACTAGTAATACTACTAGTAATACTTAACTTTAGTATTGGAGAAGCTTTTGGATGAAGAGCAAGATTTCAGTCCAAAGGAAGATCAAAATCTACGAGGCACAAGTAGTCTCTATTCTACTCTACAACTGCAACTCCTGGGCTGCACCACTAGCTTCGTTGAATGAACTTGATATTGCTCATCGCAAACACCTCCGAAGAATCCTCAACATCAGATGGCCTACTGGGGTTATTTCTAATGAGGCACTCTATGCTCGTTGTTATGTCACTCCCTTGTCTGTGAGAGTCTCTAAGTTTCGATGGAGAATGTTAGGACATATCTTAAGAGGACAGGAAGACTCGCCAGCATACACCTCTATGTTATTTGCTATAAATTCTGATATTTTTATGGAAGGGAGACGGGGTAGACCATGTTTAAACTTATTAGATGTTATTAGAAAAGACTTGACTAGTAGAAATCTTGATATTAGACTTAAGAATTTGACTGATTTCGAAGACCTTAGATTTTTGGCTTTAGATAGGGAGGAATGGAAGAAGTTAGAAGATGGTTGATGTTTTTGTTTTCTTTTTTATGCGTTTTGATATCTATAAGGTGCCTAGGATGCTCTTTTAAAGAGATATTTCGTACTTTGAAAGATTTACTACTACTACTATTGGAGAAGCTTTACATCTAAGTAAACTATAGGTAAAAATATAATATTAATCATAAGCTAAAATGTACTAATCTTTGTATTCTAAATGGGGAAAAAGAAGAAACATTGTCAGTCAGTCGAGAAAATTGTCAGTCAGGCTATATGGCAGCTTTGTAGATGTTGTGACTATGCTAGTAGTGGTCCCAGGCTTGCGACTGGAATTGCGGTGTTAAATCGATTTAATGGTACCAACGATCCACCTCCCACTTGTTGTTTGGTACTTAGCATTAATAGTGTTAGCTGTAGCCATTTATAGCCATTAACATGCAATTCTTAATTCTTATTTATCATACCTCATCATGTGTACAAATGCTTACCTTCAACGTTAAACTTGGATGTGTCGTGCACAAGATGTAGGCCGATAACATCGTGACTAGATTCAACACGACAAGTCACTATAACTATATCTCCTTTCATTTCAAACACTGCCTCCTCAGGAAGCGCTGTCACCTCTGTGAAAATAGTGGGAATATTTGATATTATCATTAAATTCATCACAGTCAATTTAACTAGGTATACTATTTGTTATAATTATTATTTATACATATAAATTGTATTTGTTAACTAGTAGTATAATCTTACTGTAAAACTGGTTGCTACTATCATTAAATTCATCACAGTCAACTTAACTAGGTATACTATTTGTTATAATTATTATTTATACATATAAATTATATTTACTAACTAGTAGTATAATCTTACTGTAACACTGGTTGCTATTATCATTAAATTCATCACAGTTAACTTAACTAGGTATACTATTTGTTATAATTATTATTATTACATATAAATTATATTTGCTAACTAGTAGTATGATCTTACTGTAACACTGGTTGCTATTATCATTAAATTCATCACAGTTAACTTAACTAGGTATACTATTTGTTATAATTATTATTATTTATATAAATTATATTTACTAACTAGTAGTATGATCTTACTGTAACACTGGTTGCTATTATCATTAAATTCATCACAGTTAACTTAACTAGGTATACTATTTGTTATAATTATTATTATTTATATAAATTATATTTACTAACTAGTAGTATGATCTTACTGTAACACTGGTTGTAGAAAGTGGAAGCTGCATCATTACAACTCATCTCGTATAGAGCAGAGTCATTGAACTTGTAACCATGGTTACAGGACAGTGTAACCTTGGTGCCCAGTAGTACGGTCCCTCCCTCCTCCTGATCTACCTCCTCCACCTTCAGTACTCCTTTATAAACTTTATCAGGCAGAGTGCAGCTCACTGTAGTGGAAAGTTAACAGCCAAATAATAGGAAACTTAATGGAGGGTTAAATGAGGAGGGGTACCTACTAAAAGATCAAGAATCTCCTTAGGATACCCCTTCAGTACATCTTCATTGTAGTGTACTGTAAACTGTAGTACTATACTATTATTTGTAACGGTAAAGACCTAAAGACTAATTTGTTGAAGTATTTAAGAGCCTCACCAACACAGTCCTCCTTGTTGCGTGACCCAATGTTGTGAGTACTGGCCCCCTCCTCACACTTCAGACAAGATGTGGTGGCTGCTGAGGGTTGGTAGGTTCCTAGCGGACATGCTACACACGTGCTGCCTTCCTCTGGAGCGTAGGTACCCGGGGTACATTGAGCTGTGAAATGTTATTGGTTATGTCGCACTTAATACGAATAGTCTAGTATCTTATCAGTTTTAATACTTTCAACACTACTATATAACGAATGTTTTACGTTTTACCAATGATGTTATAAAGATTTTGTTGGAACTTTTTAACTCATTCGTTGTCTGACTGTGGGAACTATTGATTTTTGATCTTATCAGTTATCTGTAGTATTTTATCTACGAATCAGTTTTTTTGTATAATTATTGACAGGTAATAATGAATATGTACCACAACTCCCATCACTGTTCTCTATATATCCGGGTTCACAGCCCTCTTGTACTTCATCCTCTGTCTCTGCATTTTCGAAGTCACCAGGGTCGAATCTTTTCTGTCTAGCTGCACGTTCAACTTGTCCTAAATACAGAACTGTTAGTGATGTTAATATGTACAGTTCATCTGAGAATTCGTTATTCTGTTGTTTTCAGAAGTTTAGAAGAATTATGAACGGTTCTTAATTTCAGTGATATCACATTTTATTTAGGGAGACTGGTTTCATGAAACATTCCCCAACATTTAGAATATTAACAATTTGTTGTGGTATAATTTCGGAGAAGTTATAACGGAACATTAAAATCATATGATTTTGTAATAAGGAAGTATAAGAATATTATTTCCAGAAATTAGTTTTAATAATTCCACTGTTTACAAACTGGTGATAACTCTAACCTTTGACAGACAGCGTCACCACACATAGTATCAAAAGCAAAAGCATTGATCTCATGCAGTTCCTTTCTTCCAAATGTTCGCTCTGTTATTTCCTTATTAAGCTAAGTAAATGTAAGGAAAATTTGTAAGTAATCGTGCAAACGAAGTATGTACACATGGTATCAATCAACTTTCGTTTTACACTTAACAATCGGTGAAAGGTTATAATATTCCCTGCGAATGTTCAACTACATGTGTCAAATCGGAAGTAAGGAAAGTAAGGAAACAAAGAGATTCGTAAAAACAGTAACCTTAATAATGAACCTGTTATAAACAGTAAATATCATGCACGAATTGCACGTGTCAGAATGGTATTCAGAATTCTTGCACATTTCGTTTCCTAAACTCGGGTCAGACAGAGTTGATACAGAATAAGTAACAAAGATAAGTACGGACAGTAATGATTGGTTCCAATATTGGAATACTGGTCCCTGATTGGTTCCAATATTGGAATACTGGTCCCTGATTGGTTCCAATGTGTTTATCTAGAGAGATCTACTCTGCATACAATGTCACCTACTCAATCTACCGGTACTGAAACGTCAATGACCAGGTTTACCTTATCACTAGACTAATCCCTCCCACTGCCTACTATATTATCAGTACAGTACTGAGTACAGATTACCGGTACTATTCTAGTAAACAGACACAGTTAGTCGGGTAGGGAAGTAGGGAGAGACACAGACTTACTGTATACTGTATAGTAACTGCAGACTCACTACCCTTGAAACACCGCAACTAGGAGACATCTCTAATATTCCGCCATTAAACTATCATAAGTACCTAACTTAGCTTTCTACATGGTTATTGGTTAATTACACATGCTATAGCTAAAAGAGTATAGTTGTATATTGTACATGCCTCCTCACGATAGTAGAATTCTACATCACTTTTAGTAAAATCATAGTAATCATAGTATTATGAAGTGATTCTTGCAGTTTCTTCGATCTGCAAAGTATGATTTGTTCTAAAATATCCTCTATATTTTAATAGTTGCTGTTATAAAGTTACCTCCTGATACTTTTAACTTTATATCTGTTCAGAGTAGTGGAATGACACATATAAATACGCAATGTAGTGGCTAGTAATACCCAGCCCCCGCTCTACCTCGACACTACCTCGACACTACCTCGACACTACCTCGACACTATCTCGACACTACTTCGACACTATCTCGACACTATCTCGACACTACCTCGACACTATTTCGACACTGCCTCGACACTAAAGCCAGTTGAATAGTATCAAGATGGACAACGGAGCTGTGAAGGGCCGGCATGGCAAGGAATCCTTCGATCACATATGCAAGGTACGTATTGTGTGCTCATTGTAGCTACTCGTTCTGATTTACATATTGCTTCGTCATAACTTTCATTATTTACCTAGTATATTACTATATTACGTTATATTACAGTATATTATATTAATTGGTATTTGATACTTATTGCGAATATTTCCTGTAAGTTCTACAGAATGAGCCTCCTCGGGTGTGACGTCATGCTTGAAGGACTTCTATCCCTCTATTGTTTATAACAGATATCTGTTGTTTATAACATATATTGATTGCAATAATCTTCTGCTCGCATGTACCTCATACCTCATGACACGTGTATACTGTATAAGGTATGATAATGGTTACACCCAAGGGAGGAGCCTGAACAGTATCAGCCAGTAGCCAGTAGCCAGTAGCCAGTAGCCAGTAGCCAGTAGCCAGTAGCCAGTAGTACGACGTTATTCATTGTGGTGGAATGCAGAGTGTGCCTTATATGGGCAAGGGAGACAGTAGTTACAAGTGTAGTGGTTTCGAGATCACGTGATACTGATTGTATTGTTCACGCTAATAGTTTGATGTTAATCATCGCCCCGGTTATCATATTACTGTGCAGTGGCGTAACGTTACGCCACTGTTACTGTGCCTTTACTGCGTGTAACAGTTCGTAAAGTATTTCCGATATGTCTCAGTATCAATACCTAAGTTCACTATACTCACCTTCACTCCGATATGTCTCAGTCTCAATACCTAAGTTCACTATACTCACCTTCAATCCGATATGTCTCAGTCTCAATACCTAAGTTCACTATACTCACCTTCACTCCGATATGTCTCAGTCTCAATACCTAAGTTCACTATACTCACCTTCAATCCGATATGTCTCAGTCTCAATACCTAAGTTCACTATACTCACCTTCACTCCGATATGTCTCAGTCTCAATACCTAAGTTCACTATACTCACCTTCACTCCGATAATTCTCAGTCTCAATACCTAAGTTCACTATACTCACCTTCACTCCGATATGTCTCAGTATCAATACCTAAGTTCACTATACTCACCTTCACTCCGATATGTCTCAGTCTCAATACCTAAGTTCACTATACTCACCTTCACTCCGATATGTCTCAGTCTCAATACCTAAGTTCACTATACTCACCTTCACTCCGATATATCTCAGTCTCAATACCTAAGTTCACTATACTCACCTTCAATCCGATATGTCTCAGTATCAATACCTAAGTTCACTATACTCACCTTCAATCCGATATGTCTCAGTATCAATACCTAAGTTCATTATACTCACCTTCACTCCGATATGTCTCAGTCTCAATACCTAAGTTCACTATACTCACCTTCACTCCGATATGTCTCAGTCTCAATACCTAAGTTCACTATACTCACCTTCACTCCGATATGTCTCAGTCTCAATACCTAAGTTCACTATACTCACCTTCACTCCGATATGTCTCAGTCTCAATACCTAAGTTCACTATACTCACCTTCACTCCGATATGTCTCAGTATCAATACCTAAGTACACTATACTCACCTTCACTCCGATATATCTCAGTCTTAATACCTAAGTTCACTATACTCACCTTCACTCCGATATGTCTCAGTATCAATACCTAAGTTCACTATACTCACCTTCACTCCGATATATCTCAGTATCAATACCTAAGTTCACTATACTCACCTTCACTCCGATATGTCTCAGTCTCAATACCTAAGTTCACTATACTCACCTTCACTCCGATATGTCTCAGTCTCAATACCTAAGTTCACTATACTCACCTTCACTCCGATATGTCTCAGTCTCAATACCTAAGTTCACTATACTCACCTTCACTCCGATATGTCTCAGTCTCAATACCTAAGTCCACTATACTCACCTTCACTCCGATATGTCTCAGTATCAATACCTAAGTTCACTATACTCACCTTCACTCCGATATGTCTCAGTATCAATACCTAAGTACACTATACTCACCTTCAATCCGATATGTCTCAGTCTCAATACCTAAGTACACTATACTCACCTTCACTCCGATATGTCTCAGTCTCAATACCTAAGTTCACTATACTCACCTTCACTCCGATATGTCTCAGTCTCAATACCTAAGTCCACTATACTCACCTTCACTCCGATATGTCTCAGTCTCAATACCTAAGTACACTATACTCACCTTCAATCCGATATGTCTCAGTCTCAATACCTAAGTACACTATACTCACCTTCACTCCGATATGTCTCAGTATCAATACCTAAGTTCACTATACTCACCTTCACGACCTTGAAACAGTAGCGACCAAGTTTTCTGTTACAATTTCCCTGGAAATGTACTTTAATATACCTCGGACCTCCACTGAATGTACTTCATTAAGACTCTTACATATTCATTTTATGCAATTTGAATAGTCTCAGGTATTTATCAAATATTTGAGTAGCCTCGAGGTATTTACCAAAAGTCAGGGAGCGAGATAGAGAATGATTATACTTCATAAGGGCAACCATTCGTAGCATGATTCTACCTTCCTCTGTGTTTTAATGGTTAAATAAGTTAAATACATATAATTATTAGGTAGGTACTGGTTGTACTCTTAATATTGGCTGTGTTTCTATGGTGGGATACTACTGTTGCTATGAAGCGCAACTAGAACTAACGTTTAATATGAAAATCATCGATTAAATTAAATTAAAATTAAATTTTACGTAAATACTAAAGATGGGTATACTGTTTGCTTAGATTAAAGTCAAGTAATTTTAATGGGAGTTAGTACTGTTAGTTACTGGAAGATCCTCAGGACGGCGTTACCATGGTTACAACACTCTGGTTACCATGGTTACAACAATCTGGTGACCATGGTTACAACACTGAGGGGAAGAAGTGGTCGTCTAATATTCATACTTGAGATATAAACTAGTGTTTAACGGTCTAAATGTTAGTATTGGAGCTGTACAATTATTCTTTATTTGGGCATGTTCACCCGTAGCTAGAGATTGATATGATGATATACTGCACTATTGTTCCACAATGATCATACTCTCTCCCCACTGGTATTTGAACAAGTGACCCTGGTAGTGATAATAGTTATAATTCCTTAGAGACTGTGAATGGTCGGGATTAGTCAGCTTCTTAATACTTTGAAATAACCTTTGGACGCTTAGAAACAGAAAATAAGAGACTGATGAACGAGGAACCAGTGGCGTAACGAAGGGCCCCGCTGACTCCGCTATGCGGGGGGGGGGGGAGGGGGGGGGGTCTTCTTAAGGGGCGCAAAATCGTCGTTTGAATGTAGGACAATTTGGAAAAACTTAATTGAGGTACTAGCAAAACTGCGCGTTTTGCTCTAGAAATACACTTTTTTAGAGACTTTACCGGCGTATCCTCTAAAATCACCTGATTTGTTCAATTTTAGGGAGGGGGCCAAAAGGGGAGAGGGCGCCAACAGGGGGGCGCTTTTTCGGCAGAAGGGGCGCCAACAGGGGGGGGGGGGGGGGGGCGATTTTTCGGCGGAGGGGCGCCAACAGGCAACGTAACGCCACTGCGAGGAACTGTAGTTTGAACGGTTGGCAATAGAGAGTAGAGATTAGGTCGGGTAAATCTACTCTAGTTGGGGAAATAGTGCACGTCATTAGGTACAAATAATGACCTGGTTAAATGAGGGCTAAATTGAATGGTAAAAACAGGAATGAACATACTTTATGTACCTAGTGACCTTTTCGAATTACCTTGTAGAAACTATAAATACATACAACATAATCTTCAAACTTTCGCACAAACATTCTAAAATTAAAGCAATTGTAATTACTCATTATCCGTTTCATAATATAATGTTTAGTCACTATAGTAACTACTAGTTACCTACTAGTTACCTACTAGTCACCTACTAGTTACCTACTAGTTACCTACTAGTTACCTAATAGTTACATGGTAGTAATAGTATATATAGTAATCAGTATAGCAGATAGTCTTACCCAGTCAGCTAGCTGACTGCTGAGTGTAGACTTTAGAGCGCACACTAGTTCACAGATAGTGGTATCCAGTCAGCTAGCTGAGTGTAGACTTTAGAGCGCACACTAGTTCACAGATAGTGGTACCCAGTCAGCTAGCTGAGTGTAGACTTTAGAGCGCACACTAGTTCACAGATAGTGGTACCCAGTCAGCTAGCTGAGTGTAGACTTTAGAGCGCACACTAGTTCACAGATAGTGGTACCCAGTCAGCTAGCTGAGTGTAGACTTTAGAGCGCACACTAGTTCACAGATAGTGGTACCCAGTCAGCTAGCTGAGTGTAGACTTTAGAGCGCACACTAGTTCACAGATAGTGGTACCCAGTCAGCTAGCTGAGTGTAGACTTTAGAGCGCACACTAGTTCACAGATAGGGGTACCCAGTCAGCTAGCTGAGTGTAGACTTAAGAGCGCACACTAGTTCACAGATAGTGGTACCCAGTCAGCTAGCTGAGTGTAGACTTTAGAGCGCACACTAGTTCACAGATAGTGGTACCCAGTCAGCTAGCTGAACTCTATCACGCCTCACCTCACCCATTATTCCTTATATGGTAGTTTCAGTTGAGAAGGGGTGCTCGACACACATTGGTGGTACACAGGTTGTCCTGGTTACCATGGTAACACCTGGTTACCTCTCTCACTGACTCAATGGATCACATCTTGATTAATTGTAATGTGTAGATATGATCAATAGAGCGTACTATGGTTCATAGTTAGAAAGTATTACTATGGTTCATAGTAAAAGGTAGGAAGCAATAGTATCCACTAAGTCCCGTGATCAGTAGAGGCTGGTGGTACTAGTGGTAGTATTCAACTCATGTAGTCTCATGTCACACAGATAATAATTAATGCTAGTTCTCAGATTGGAATTGAATATTTTTGCATTTGTACGAGTAGAGAAACTCTGTGATCATATCTCCCTGGTTACCATGGTAACACCTGGTTACCTCTCTCACTGACTCAATGTGATCATATCTCCCTGGTTTTCTCCCTGGTGATCATATCTCCCTGGTTGATGGTGGACACTTTACCAGCGTTCAATAAGTTTACAGCTAATGTTATACAGTGTTATAGTTAGTTAACAATAAGTGTTGTAGCTGATCCTGTAGACCACTCCCTCTAAGTGAGATTGTGAGACCACGTGTTTTGAGACCACGTGTTTTGAGACCACGTGTTTTGAGACCACGTGTTTTGAGACCACGTGTTCTGTGACCACGTGTTTTGAGACCACGTGTTCTATGACCACGTGTTTTGAGACCACGTATTTTGAGACCACGTGTTTTGAGACCACGTGTTATGTGACCACGTGTTTTGAGACCACGTGTTTTGAGACCACGTATTTGAGACCACGTGTTTTGAGACCACGTGTTTTGAGACCACGTGTTCTGTGACCACGTGTTTTGGGACCACGTGTTTTGAGACCACGTGTTTTGTGACCACGTATTTTGTGGCCACGTGTTTTGTGACCACGTGTTTTGTGACCACGTGTTTTGTGACCACGTGTTTTGTGACCACGTGTTTTGTGACCACGTGTTTTGTGACCACGTGTTTTGAGACCACGTGTTTTGAGACCACGTGTTCTGTGACCACGTGTTTTGTGACCACGTGTTTTGGATTAACTCTCACATATTTTCTAGACATGATAAGTTCATTGTGTAGTGTAAACTGAATAAAACATGCGCTTTTTAGTGTAAAGTGTACCGCCATCTGTGAGGCTGCAATTGTACCAGGTTTTTACATAATGATAGCTTTCTTAACATGAGAAGTCAAGGTAAATATCTGGTTAACAATAATCATACATTGGATGGAACATTATTTATACCGCAGTGGTTACTACAGTATTTATTGAAGGGAACATTATCTATACCGCAGTGGTTACTACAGTGGTTACTACAGTATTTATTGGATGGAACATTATCTATACCGCAGTGGTTACTACAGTATTTATTGAAGGGAACATTATCTATACCGCAGTAGTTGCTACAGTATTTATTGAAGGGAACATCATCTATATCGCAATGGTTGCTACAGTATTTATTGGATGGAACATTATCTATACCGCAGTGGTTGCTACAGTATTTATTGAAGGGAACATTATCTATACCGCAGTGGTTACTACAGTATTTATTGAAGGGAACATTATCTATACCGCAGTGGTTGCTACAGTATTTATTGAAGGGAACATTATCTATACCGCAGTGGTTGCTACAGTATTTATTGGATGGAACATTATCTATACCGCAGTGGTTGCTACAGTATTTATTGAAGGGAACATTATCTATACCGCAGTGGTTACTACAGTATTTATTGAAGGGAACATTATCTATACCGCAGTGGTTGCTACAGTATTTATTGGATGGAACATTATCTATACCGCAGTGGTTGCTACAGTATTTATTGAAGGGAGCATTATCTATACCGCAGTGGTTACTACAGTATTTATTGAAGGGAACATTATCTATACCGCAGTGGTTACTACAGTATTTATTGAAGGGAACATTATCTATACCGCAGTGGTTGCTACAGTATTTATTGGATGGAACATTATCTATACCGCAGTGGTTGCTACAGTATTTATTGAAGGGAACATTATCTATACCGTAGTGGTTACTACAGTATTTATTGAAGGGAACATTATCTATACCGCAGTGGTTGCTACAGTATTTATTGAAGGGAACATTATCTATACCGCAGTGGTTGCTACAGTATTTATTGGATGGAACATTATCTATACCGCAGTGGTTACTACAGTATTTATTGAAGGGAACATTATCTATACCGCAGTGGTTACTACAGTATTTATTGAAGGGAACATTATCTATACCGCAGTGGTTACTACAGTGGTTACTACAGTATTTATTGGATGGAACATTATCTATACCGCAGTGGTTACTACAGTATTTATTGGATGGAACATTATCTATACCGCAGTGGTTACTACAGTATTTATTGAAGGGAACATTATCTATACCGCAGTGGTTACTACAGTATTTATTGAAGGGAACATTATCTATACCGCAGTGGTTACTACAGTATTTATTGAAGGGAACATTATCTATACCGCAGTGGTTGCTACAGTATTTATTGGGTGTATAGCTGCACGTGGTGATAGTTGATAAGGATCAAATAACGCATCACTTGGTGTGGGGCACGTTATCGTGTTGTCATAGTTACCTCTCCTAGCCTCACAACTCATTGACTCTAAATTAGAAACATTATGTGATAGCTCTGTAACCTTGTATTACTAACTATAGTTACTTGCATTATTACTAACTATTACTACTACTACTACTACTACTACTAGTAGTAGTACTACTACTACTACTACTACTATTAGTACTACTACTACTACTACTAGTAGTACTACTACTACTACTAGTAGTAGTACTACTACTACTACTACTACTACTACTACTACTACTACTACTACTACTACTACTAGTAGTAGTACTGACCTGGAGTTAAAGCAGATAATACGGTGAATCTGTACTTGTTTAAACAACTGTGCAGGTGGTGAGTATAGTAAGGTCCGTGCTATACTCACCACTATACTCACCACTATACTCACCACTATACTCACCACTATACTCACTACCTTTCTTATAGAGTTGTTAAAAAAAGAAGTATTAAGACAGTTTGTTTATACGATAGAAAATTTGTGATTTAGCATTTGAAAGGAGGACTGCAACAAATTAACAACGAATGGAATGATGTTAATCACCTATCCTCGTACTAAACTGTTAATAGAGATAATTATAATGCGGGCAGCGTCTACCTTTCCATTCATGATGATTTCTGTATAAAGATGGTTCTAATTCTTCGTAATTTAAGTTACATTGCACGAAGAATAGTTATTATCATTATACGGTAAATATTCCCATTGAAATAACGTTTAAACTATAAAACCTGCGTTCTGTGAGGCACGTAATAAGTTCTCAGTTTTAGAGGGATATACAATAGACGAGTAGTAAACCCCCCGCCCTGTCCGTGACGTCTAATTAGTTACTGTTCACTTAGTTAGACTGTTAGTTACTGTTTTCAGACAAATGTACAACACTGTAATAATGATATCAGTTTCCATGATGTTGTTTAATGAACACAATATATCTAAACAACACCACCTTAATATTCCCGGTACCGGTAAAACTCTCCGGATTTCAACATGCTCAGAAGTAGATAGAAAGAGGAAACGAAGGAGCTTCTAATCTAATTACTCTGTAACTATTACTACTTCCACCCCATGTACTACTACCTTACTACTGCTACTATTCAGTAAATCCTCCTACAAATACCACTACTAACCCCCTCAGGTGATATGTACTAACCCCCCCTACAAATACCACTACTAAGTACTAACCCCCCCCCCCCCCAGGTGATGCTAATAGGCGACAGCAGTGTGGGTAAGACATGTCTACTGGTCAGATTCAAGGACGGAGCATTCCTCGCCTGTAGTTACATCTCAACAGTCGGCATAGACTTCAGGGTAACACTTCTTAGTTACTAACAATATAATAATTGTGAATATCAATATTTGTTCGATTGGAATTTTCTTATAGAATATCAGCTGAATCAATGGAACTTTAAGCTATGTTTAATCAATGGAACTTTAAGCCGGAATGGAACTTTAAGCTATGTTTAAAAAGGTTCAGCAAGAAGAAGCTTGTAATGCTGTGGAGGGGGTTGTGGAAATATGTAATTATAATGACTGTGTGAACACGGTAATAATGTGACTAGTCAGTTTGTAGTCAGTTTGTAGTCAACTACATACTTACTACTTAAGGTACTTACCTTCTTACCTGATACTAAATAATATTATTATATATTCTTACCTACTAATGGTTGTTGACTAATTGTTGTTTATTGCAGTCGAAGATAGTAAATCTGGATGGAACTAAAGTAAAATTACAGGTACAATCTTAATATTGTTAATTATTAATTGATTTTCCCCTACAACCCTCTGTTTAAAATGATCAAGATTTTGATACCGTTAAGATTAAAACCCTGATAACCTAAAACAAGTGGTATGATTGTATAGTTCTAAAGAGATGTGATAAGATTTCACATTTATATTACCAGCTCATTTACCAGCACATTTACCAGCACATTTACCAGCTCATTTACCAGCTCATTTACCAGCTCATCCCCATGTGTCAGTAATTAGACCACTCTGTAGTCAGTGTAGTCAGTGTAGTCAGTGTTTATATGTTGTGTAATAGTGTAGAGTGCGGTGTTACACTAGCAGGTGCTATTAGTCAGGTGGTATTAGTACAAATACCACATCAATCTCACATACTCCTATCTTACCAGGCACAATGTATACTTCTGTAGGAGGGGAGGGGGTGCCACGTGTCACTTCTGTATTCGCTTTCAATACCACAGCAACTCTTTCTATACGCTCACTAAAAGTGCTATGACGTCACACCATATTATCGTTACTTAGCAACATATTGTGTATAATGATAACTTTAACTTTGAGTAGCAGTAACGTCACACACAACCTTGTATACATGTGTGTTAAGGCAAAAGTAGATTTTGGTTTATAACAGCCCGTGACTTCGATCAATTTTTAATAAAATGAATCCGAAACTTCATGGTCGCAGTATTAAGATGTCAGCTAATATAACCGTCCCCCTGTACCGTTTTATAAAGTATGTCTAATATAACCGTTTACCTAACTACCGGTATATTGCTGTCTAATATTGTGACGTCAAATGAAGTTCTGCATCAATAGTCCATTATATTAAAATGTCAAATCTTAAACTGTATGAGTGTAAATTTAGGAATTTCTCATGGTTCAGGCTGTGAGACGGTCTTATCAATATTTCTGTCGCATTAGATAGTAGTTCACAGGGAGTGAACTTTAATAAAGCAATAATGACTTTACGATCTCTAATGATATCTTGCCAGCTAGGTTTACTTGAGGGCTAATATCCTGATAGTCTGACATAAGGTTAGTAACAGCTAGCTGTACAGCTAGATACAGTAGTACAGACACTCAGTCTTACAATCAGGGGCCTTCAGCTATATTGACATTAGAATCAACACCCTATATGGTACTATATAATATATATGGTACTATATGGTACTATATGGTTACTATGGTAACAGTCTCTGTCGGACGAGTTATGTACGTCTGGGTGGGAGATGATCTAGCTGTAATTGCGCTAATTTAGTTTAATGAAATACTTCGAGATAAGCGCAAATTTAAGTATAAGTTTAGGAAAAGCAAGGTTGTGGAATATACCTTTTTGATGATAAAGTTACCGAACACTTGTTTCCTTGTTAGTGCGTAGGCTGGACATATAGTAGGCTGAGCATATAGTAGGCTGAGCATATAGTAGGCTGAGCATCTGGTTAGGAAGTGGTTTGTAGTTTCTACTTCCTCTTCACATTTGTTGCAGATGTTTCACTACACGGTGTACATAGTTTCACTACACGGTGTACATAGTTTCACTACTGCAGTACATAGTTTCACTACAGTACATAGTTTCAATACAGTACATAGTTTCACTACAGTACATAGTTTCACTACAGTACATAGTTTCACTACAGTACATAGTTTCACTACACGGTGTACATAGTTTCACTACACGGTGTACATAGTTTCACTACTGCAGTACATAGTTTCACTACAGTACATAGTTTCAATACAGTACATAGTTTCACTACAGTACATAGTTTCACTACACGGTGTACATAGTTTCACTACAGTACATAGTTTCACTACACGGTGTACAAAGTTTCACTACAGTACATAGTTTCACTACAGTACATAGTTTCACTACAGTACATAGTTTCACTACAGTACATAGTTTCACTACACGGTGTACATAGTTTCACTACAGTACATAGTTTCACTACAGTACATAGTTTCACTACACGGTGTACATAGTTTCACTACACGGTGTACATAGTTTCACTACTGCAGTACATAGTTTCACTACAGTACATAGTTTCAATACAGTACATAGTTTCACTACAGTACATAGTTTCACTACACGGTGTACATAGTTTCACTACAGTACATAGTTTCACTACACGGTGTACACAGTTTCACTACAGTACATAGTTTCACTACAGTACATAGTTTCACTACAGTACATAGTTTCACTACAGTACATAGTTTCACTACACGGTGTACATAGTTTCACTACAGTACATAGTTTGACAGTGTATATTTTCAGATATTTGATACGGCTGGTCAGGAACGGTTCAGGAGTTTAACTCATTCTTACTACAGAGACGCACATGGTAAATAAATTAGCAAATCAGTTAGTATAATACTTGTAATACTTAAGGGGACATAAACGGACCATTATTGCTAATGTAAAGTTTACCAAATTTGTTCATGATTATAATTTAATATACCGTCAATCCACGAACTGTGCTAAAATACACAACTGGTGTATCCTAAATACTTTAATATTAAATTAAGATTAAAAATTCACTTGAAAAATGGATTTGTCAATCTTTGATATTTTTATCTTTGACTTGCTTAAACGATTCTAGTCGAATCGATACTTTGAGATGGTCGCTGAAAATTTAACGGTCACTGACTTTGTTTCACGGGCATTCTCCAGCGGTTTGTAAAGAAGCTATGTTGTTTCCATTCAATTAATCATAGACTTTACCTACAGTTTTGTTAGTTATTTCTACGATTAATGATCGACGATTAACAGAGCTTTGTAATCAGTGTACAGCCTTCAACTCTTTCATATCGTTTACGAGAGGAAATGAGCCACTGTAATTTCTGTTATACATGGCTAAATTTTGTGCCCCTCAATTCCTACGATAGCATGGATTTGACAAATTTCACAATCCTTGATAATAACTTTCAGGCGCGCGCGAGGATACGCCTACTGAATTCATGGCGCGTAGCACGGATGATTTCTTAATTCGCTGGCTATCGCACGCTGTTCGGTGTTTGAACGGCGTGCACATGAAATCTATCTGTAATTTAGATAACACTTAGCTACAATTAAAGTAAGCAGTCTCCAATTTCAGCTTTGCTTTTGGTGTATGACGTTACCTGCAACGAATCATTTCTTAACGTTCGTGTGAGTAATAGTTTCATTATTTATCTTTTTCTAATCCTATGTGCAACTGTTTACCCAACTGTTTATGATCCTCGTGTATAAGAAAATTTGTCAGTATTGCTGGAACAATAGGGCCTGATATCATGGACAGGCCCTACTGGAACAACTTCTCTCCCCCATACATTACACAATATTGATCCTGATGTTTGGCAGGAGTGGTTGACAGTAGTGGAGGAGCACGCATCCCCAGATGTGATAGTCATGATACTGGGAAACAAGGCGGACATGAACGGGGAACGAGTTGTGAAGACTGAACAGGGGGAAAGGCTAGCCAAGGTGAGTCAGTCAACATTTAGATAATCTCTAACTTAATTAGCAGCTATTTAATCGGTTAATTTTTCTGTATATATGCCAAATGGAGTTTTTTCCCGAAATTAAAAACTGATCTGAAAAACGTGTTCTTATTTCCGTTTCTCTCAGGAGTACGGAGTAGCTTTTTTGGAAACTAGTGCTAAAACTGGCCTAAACGTGGACTTGGCTTTCATGGCAATCGCAAAGTAGGCAACCAATTCTGCTTTCTCATTTTGATTCCACATTTTAATCTGATTGAGACAAATGTAACACTTGGGAATTTTCAGCTAAATTCTATCCTCTTTTCTTTTAGGGACATTAAAGCAAAACGTTCGTTGCGATCAGCCGACAAAGACTTCAACATGGGCGAGTTCATTGATTCCAAAAAGCAATCTTCCAGCTGCTGTTAATTAAGTTAATACATTAATTATGTAATGCAAATATTAACAAACGCTATATGAACTTTACATGTAGAGTTCATATAGCGTTTGTTCTTATCTAATGGCTGTTATGCCTTTTGAATTTTACAGATCTAAGGGAGTTAGAAATTGCATATGAAGCTTTACTTGGTGAACTCACAATAATTTATTTAATTGTAAGAACGTTTGTTGATTTAAATTATTTCCGTTAATGACGTGGCATTTATAAAATTTGTATTTAGTGAGAGCAACAAACCATTTACCATCACGCATCTGTCTCAAGGCAATTCGGTTGACAATGTAATGTATTCATAAAATTAGAATAATATATTTTCATAAACAAAATAAGATGATTTAAGGACTTGATTAATTGTTAAAATAATAATGGGTTGATTTTAAAGTGTTTGACAATCATCTAGATTATGTATCCGCCTTTAAAATTATTTGTTAATTTACAATATTTGAGCTGTTTATTACGCCTGCCCTTTTAATATTTTAAATTTATACTAATTGATGCTTTTTGAAGATAATTGTATTTGCATCAAATATTTTTAATCGGAAGTGACGTTTCCCATCTTCGGTTTTGGTCAATTCTTCAAATTTCGTAGTGTAACCGTTAAAATAATAGCGGTAAGTTAATAATATGAAGTTCATTGGTTGATGATACGAAATTCTACTTTTTAAAATTATGAATGATCGTCATTTTATCCATTAGCTTGATGACACAGATTCATACCTTGTTCCCATTTAAATTATTACATACTATTAGTTGTAGCAGTTAATCGTTGTAAGTATCGTTTGTTTATTTAAAAAACATCCTAACAATTTGTACAATTTCTCCTTACAGTCACAAGGTTACTCCATCAGAGATAAATTAAAAGTAAATAAGTGTTTGGGAAAACTCTTCCGCAAGGAGACTTGCAGCATGATCCCCTCATGTTTTGGTAATAGTCTAGTATCACATCACCACTCCTACACACTCCTTTACACGCTGATATCACATGACATCGACCTCCTATCACGCGGCTCCGTTCTCTACTCACGTGACCAGCCCCATTACGGCCACTGCCCTGGTCATGTGAGACCGGTATATAAGTCTCTTCTTCGCTTCGTAGTCTTTTCGTCCGCTTTCGTATCGTGACCCGAGGTCTAATCGTCAGGTGAGTTTGAAGAGGAGCTCTACTGTACTGGAGATATCGTAACGTATCGTAATGAAGCGAATCATTGCTCTGGAGAAAGCATATATATAGGTAGGCATGTGATGAGTGTGAGTATTAAACTATTCTTCTCTTTCAACCAATCTAATAATATTTCCAATGAACACCTCCAGCTATAATCCCATCTCTTACACTTACCCGATTATCACACTACCGTGGGAACAAGAGACAACAGACCCTGCCTATCCTGCAAACTACACTCCTACCTACCAATCAGTCTGCTACGCTGATGTCAGAGTACCGACTAGTTCAGGTAGTTCTGCGGAGGGTTACTACGGTTACCCCTATCAGAACACACAGAAACCTGGTGTTAAACACTTTAGCCCTGAAACTGGAGAGACCCCTTCTTACAAGCTGGATGATGAGGATTACTGCGTACCAGTCAGTATCTCATCTGAAACTGAGTATCCCACCACCATGCCTCTCCCCTCAAGTTACTATTGTCCTCCAAGTTCAGGTACAGTGGGTAATCCTTATTACATCTCCTCTCAAACTACCCGCTATATGCACGTGTCTGCAGACTCTTCCACTCCTGAACCTGCTCCTAACCAGACAACTACTACCTTCAGTCCTGGCTACCCTCCTATCTCAGAGCCTAGTGTTCCTAACCAGACAACTACTACCTTCAGTCCTGGCTACCTTCCTATCTCAGAGCCTAGTGTTCCTAACCAGACAACTACTACCTTCAGTCCTGGTTACCCTCCTATATCAGAGCATATTCAGTCACGAACTGAGGCAACTCCCCGTAACTATCAGTATCCTATTTCTACTAGCACAGTCTGCAGTTCAGTTAGCGCACTACCGCTCCCTGTTACCTCACTACCGCTCCCTAATCAACAACCTGTAGGTATTGACTTCCCTTATCATCTGTTCGAATATCCAGCACAGAATCCTGGTGGAGGAAAAATCAAGAAAGAGAAGAAACGAACCGAGTTTTCATCACAAGACCTGAAACTTCTGGAAGCTGCTTTTGCCGAATCAGATTTTGCCAGAGGAGCTAAAAGGGAGAAGCTTGCCTCTTCTTTGGGAGTTTCGTTAAGATCAATAACAGTCTGGTTTCAGAACAAGAGAGCAAAGATGAGGAAAGAAAAGAAGAGTATGGAAATGCTGGAACTCGCGGCCAAGACTGGAATAGTCGATCTCAAACAATAATAATCTTTTATTAATCACCCGACATCTCTAGCTGTGCTAGAGTTAGAGTAGCACACTGTTTTTACTGGATGGATAATTTCAGATAATATTTTGGTCTTATAATATTTTGGTCTTATAATATTTTGTTGACATAACATTTCGAATTTACACTCTAATGCAAAACCGAATTTCTTTGTCTGTTTACTTGGTAAGATAGTCATGATGAGATTAAACTCTTGAACAATGCGAAATCAGATGAAAATATTAGATGAAATAACTGTACCATCAGCGTAAGCAGCTGGGAAATTACATACGGACCCTCATACCACAGCTTGAGCAAAGAGAAGTAATATAATCAGAAAAGAAAAGCTTGCATTAAGACTGGCCACGCTCGATCCAGTCGAGTCCTCCTCCCCTCCATGAAAATAACCCCCACTCTGCTTGATTTGTTCTTCTCTACCCTCCCTACTACTATTGTCACTGCCCCCTACTACTGACTCAAGGTCTGATTCCCTCCCCAATTTATTTGAATCTGGATGTAAAGATGCAATCGTGTGAGTGTTGGTCGCTGCCTCCTCTGTGGTGTAAGATTTTGAGGTGGTCTCTATCTCTACTGTTGGGTGGTTGTAGTATTCCGGCCTTGGTTCAGGCCCTACCTCGCGAGACTGGCAGTTCCGGGATATTGGCAGGTATTCTTGTACTATCTCACAGATATTAGCTGTAACAGTTGTGTTCGTCAAATATTTTACATTTTATTGGAAACTTTTTACAACAGTTAGAATAGTATATGAAGCATGTAGTACGATTAGAAACGGTATCTGGCAACTGTTTCTCTATCTAGAGATATAAAGGTTACTGATCTGGCAACTGTTTCTCTATCTAGAGATATAAATGTTACTGATCTGGTAACTGTTTCTCTATCTAGAGATATAAAGGTTACTGATCTGGTAACTGTTTCTCTATCTAGAGATATAAAGGTTACTGATCTGGCAACTGTTTCTCTATCTAGAGATATAAAGGTTACTGATCTGGCAACTGTTTCTCTATCTAGAGATATAAAGGTTACTGATCTGGCAACTGTTTCTCTATCTAGAGATATAAAGGTTACTGATCTGGTAACTGTTTCTCTATCTAGAGATATAAAGGTTACTGATCTGGCAACTGTTTCTCTATCTAGAGATATAAATGTTACTGATCTGGCAACTGTTTCTCTATCTAGAGATATAAATGTTACTGATCTGGCAACTGTTTCTCTATCTAGAGATATAAAGGGTACTGATCTGGCAACTGTTTCTCTATCTAGAGATATAAATGTTACTGATCTGGCAACTGTTTCTCTATCTAGAGATATAAATGTTACTGATCTGGCAACTGTTTCTCTATCTAGAGATATAAATGTTACTGATCTGGCAACTGTTTCTCTATCTAGAGATATAAAGGTTACTGATCTGGCAACTGTTTCTCTATCTAGAGATATAAAGGGTACTGATCTGGCAACTGTTTCTCTATCTAGAGATATAAAGGGTACTGATCTGGCAACTGTTTCTCTATCTAGAGATATAAATGTTACTGATCTGGCAACTGTTTCTCTATCTAGAGATATAAAGGTTACTGATCTGGCAACTGTTTCTCTATCTAGAGATATAAAGGGTACTGATCTGGCAACTGTTTCTCTATCTAGAGATATAAAGGGTACTGATCTGGCAACTGTTTCTCTATCTAGAGATATAAAGGGTACTGATCTGGCAACTGTTTCTCTATCTAGAGATATAAAGGTTACTGATCTGGCAACTGTTTCTCTATCTAGAGATATAAAGGGTACTGATCTGGCAACTGTTTCTCTATCTAGAGATATAAATGTTACTGATCTGGCAACTGTTTCTCTATCTAGAGATATAAAGGGTACTGATCTGGCAACTGTTTCTCTATCTAGAGATATAAAGGTTACTGATCTGGCAACTGTTTCTCTATCTAGAGATATAAATGTTACTGATCTGGTAACTGTTTCTCTATCTAGAGATATAAATGTTACTGATCTGGCAACTGTTTCTCTATCTAGAGATATAAAGGTTACTGATCTGGCAACTGTTTCTCTATCTAGAGATATAAAGGTTACTGATCTGGCAACTGTTTCTCTATCTAGAGATATAAAGGTTACTGATCTGGCAACTGTTTCTCTATCTAGAGATATAAAGGTTACTGATCTGGTAACTGTTTCTCTATCTAGAGATATAAAGGTTACTGATCTGGCAACTGTTTCTCTATCTAGAGATATAAATGTTACTGATCTGGTAACTGTTTCTCTATCTAGAGATATAAAGGTTACTGATCTGGCAACTGTTTCTCTATCTAGAGATATAAAGGTTACTGATCTGGCAACTGTTTCTCTATCTAGAGATATAAAGGTTACTGATCTGGCAACTGTTTCTCTATCTAGAGATATAAAGGTTACTGATCTGGCAACTGTTTCTCTATCTAGAGATATAAATGTTACTGATCTGGCAACTGTTTCTCTATCTAGAGATATAAAGGTTACTGATCTGGCAACTGTTTCTCTATCTAGAGATATAAATGTTACTGATCTGGTAACTGTTTCTCTATCTAGAGATATAAATGTTACTGATCTGGCAACTGTTTCTCTATCTAGAGATATAAAGGTTACTGATCTGGTAACTGTTTCTCTATCTAGATATATAATGGTTACTGATCTGGTAACTGTTTCTCTATCTAGAGATATAAAGGTTACTGATCTAGTAGTTGTACTGAACATTACCTGGTTCGGTAGCACTATACCCACAAGACCAGAGAGTGTGTTGAGTATCCAGGACACTGTAGCTAGTGGCTCTACACTGGTCGTGTGTTCTGGAACACTCGTAAACCGGGCACACTGCCAACTGGAGTCCGTTAGAGGACCTGTATTTCGTGTAGCGTGCTGATATGTGGGTACTTTCTATACACTGCTTGCAGTGCACTGCTGTGGTGTGGACATGTTTTAGTGGACATGTTTTAGTTATTACTTTATACTTCATGCAATTTATTAGGTCATTATATTTCCGCTGAAACATATCAAATTAAGAAGTATGAGTCATATAATATGTTGCCAGATTAGGATAGAAATACCAAGTCATACCTCGCTTCTGCCAAACGATTTCGTCAAATGTATTGACAGTTGTTACGGAGAAAACGAAAGCAAGGGCGATCAGAAACATGGTATATAAGCTTGGATAATGCAACAAGTCGATATTTAGCTGGCTTCGTCTGAAAAAGAGAATAAGAAAGCAGTCTGCTACTGCTAGAAGAGGCCCTGATTGAGAAACTAAAAACAAAGCAGCAGAGCGTTGAGATGGTGGAACAGAACTGCAAGCAAACTGGGTGCTAAATAGTGCTGGTTTTACCAGCTAACTTAGAGAATTAATTGCCGGGTTTGTGTACTGGGGGAATTAATTGAATCAAGCTGGTTAGACTGGGCGTGGGAGGATGTGGTAAGATGTGGCAACACGGCCAAGTTCACGATCACTACCAGGGTGGTGGCAGTGCCACAATATTTCCAGTACATTATAATAGTATCAGTATTATAATAAGTATTCTTATTACAAATATCTTCCGTCCTCCTGTCAGCGACAATTCTGGCTCTGCCTTTCAACTTAGTCTGCTTCCCCTGCAGCAGTGTGGTGCAGCGCCCAATTAATTTCTACCTTAATTATGTTATTATTATTATGAGTTTTATGGATATTTTGTCGCTGATAGTGATTTGCCACACCACCACGCACGCCTTTAATTTTATTTGTATAATTTGAGTGCAGCACGAACAACTAAAGAGTTGGGTTAAGCAGAAGTTTAATTATGTTTGAAACACACTAAATGATGTGGGATTCCCACCTAAAAAAGGCAGTTTAGTTCACAACTGTTATAAAAAGGAGCGTTATTGCGAATTATTTGTGGTCCTGCTATCTTTACCACGTTAGTTTTATTACTGGTAGCTAGTCACTCTAGTTATCTGGTTATCGATTACACGGAGAACAATCAATTGATAAAATACAAAATAGATTTTTGTTTTGGTTGTTTGATTTTGACAGCTTGAGGTTCCTATATGGATGATTCCTTCCAATTTCTAATAAACTCGACTAGCTAACTTTTAACTTGGTTTAATGGCCCTGGCCTCCAGTTACACGCTTTGTCAACCATACGTTAAATGTTCATCTAATTCCTTTAAGTAAGTAAATATGTAATTGGGGCGTTTACTCTAATACTTTCACAATCAACAGCCCTGTCCATGTCCAAGTTTTGTGCCGTTTTTTACGGTTTCGCACATTACTTCTACCCTGTAGAAGACATTTTGTAACTCAGAAGACATAATATTAAACCAAAAGTCCCGAGTAGTTGGATTGAAAATATAAAATTTACAAATCCTGTCGTGTTAGAGTAAAGTTAAAGTTAAGCCTACTATACTACGAACTTTACATTTTCTAAGCCATTGAATGGATTCGTGTCATGCCGATTGCTATGTCTATTAGCGTAAGGAATGGATAATATAATAAAGACTAGTGCCTCCCAAATAATCTATGAGTATATCCTGTATATTGAAAAGGCTTCTAATTGGAACGTTTTCCGTTTGAGGCGCTTCCAAAAGGAAAGTTCTAGTCCGAAACTCCAGTCAGAAGTTATTCGGATACTTAGTGGTCTAGCTGATCCCGGATCAGGTCTAGTTACGTAGCGTCAACTTAAAGTCCCATGGATACCATTACCATGGATATCATTACCATGGATACCATTATCAGAAGAGGTATAAATATATAATTTATTTGGGGACAATACTCACCTGTTCCTGATCAGTAATTTGTTTAGACAAAGACCTTTCTATTTCATAAATTATGGGTTCTTAGGTCCAATCGTATTCGTAAAGTCCGCGTTGTGTAAGTTTAGTCGGGTTAATGTTTATTTCACTTGACGTCAAACCATATGGATTATGCAATACTTAAAGGTCCAATGTCTGCTTGGTAATTTATATTAACCACTCGAACATCCAAATTAGGCGACCCTGGTTTTAATCCTGCTTATGTCTGGAAGCATTTAGTGGTCTGTCTGGGTTATTGTGTTACGTATCCGTCTACCAGTGGAAATGAAGGGTTAGTAGTAATGCTGTAGTGTTGTTGATCAAACAAGCACAACGTCC